TCGGAGCTGTGTTTTTGTTGTGTCTCGCGGGTTTCACAATAATGGACATGGAAAGTTGACGTATACGTAAAGCGATTGAAAGAACGGAAAGGAGGACTAAGAATCTCCAAGGACAACTGGCAGTGCTACATTTGCTACAAGTGCCTGCACTTCAGCATCTGTCCATCTATCGCTGTTCTCCATACTTGCGAAATAAGTTGACACAATGTTTACAGTATGTTTACACGGCGTTTTAAATCATGGCGGGTGAGCGCGTTTTCATACGCGTTTGGCCAATCAATGTCTACTTGCGTCACGGGTTGTACCAGTTGTGCTGGTTAGACCCTGCTCCGGAGTAGGAGCTAATTTGGTTCTCGAAAAAGGCAGTCCGGTACTAAAATCGCTCCCAGTTCCGGCGGTGTGAAAACGCCAAAAAGTGGGTAGTTCCACAATTAGTTCTGGTACTATGAAAAGGTTCCTGCGGTGCGAAAGGCCTTAATGTAATCTCAATGCCGACAGGTATGTTTAATCACAACTCGTGGCTGTGGTAAATGTGTGCAATATTAAACGACACTGTGATGCACTGGACAGCTTCACGTGGAGAAAGTAAATGAACGAAGAGTGTGCGATATTTATTGTGTACTAATATCCTAACTGTTGTTTTAATGATGTACGAGCTGACATTTTGTAACTTTGCAAAAAAACAAACAAACGCATCATGAGAGTTTTTCAGTGCCGGATGAAGGCTATCAGTTTACAATATAATTCAATATATGGGGGCAAAAATAAAATGCCTAATTGTGTGTCTCCGAGGCAGCACTGTGTATTTTGTTACTGAATTAATCTGTGTTTTTGAACAAATTATTTGAGTCAATGATTCAGTGGCCCATTCATAAAGACAATCACTAGCTTAGTTTCTAAACGAATCAGCCGTTTTGAATGAACGAGTCAATGGATCACTCATTAAGACGGAGACTTGCTGCCACCTACTGGCGGCTTTAGTGTCATATTTATTTATCCATGACAGGCTTAAACCAACCAAGGTGCTATCTCAAAAACACACTCTGCAAAATATGGTAATTATCACCATCAAAAAAAAAGAAAAGAAAATACATTTTGTGTCAATATTGCACCCCTAAAATAACCAAGCATTATCTTTAAAAAAAAGTTGTCCTAGATTTTTTTTTATTATATTGTAGTTTGTATGGTTAATATTAATGTAATTGTGAGCAAACTAGGGTTTAACAAAAGGTAATTCGGCCCGCACAAGGGGACATTTTCTCCGATCCGGCCCTCAACCTTAAATGAGTTTGACACCCCTGATGTAGAGCTAAACTGGCAGATAATATAATGGGTATAAACATTTTTAGTTTATTAAACTGCCACTTTTATTGGAAGAGATCTAACCAACCCCAGTTTGCTTTTTAATGTAAAATACCAACCAAGGTGCTATCTCAAAAACACACTCTGCAAAATATGGTAATTATCACCATAAAAAAAAAAGAAAAGAAAATACATTTTGTGTCAATATTGCACACCCCTAAAATAACCAAGCATTATCTTTAAAAAAAAGTTGTCCTAGATTTTATTTTTATTATATTGTAGTTTGTATGGTTAATATTAATGTAATTGTGAGCAAACTAGGGTTTAACAAAAGGTAATTCGGCCCGCACAAGGGGACATTTTCTCAGATCCGGCCCTCAACCTTAAATGAGTTTGACACCCCTGATCTAGGAGGATGTTGAAGTCTCCAAGTATAACTAGGGGAGTACCATCCTTATTTAATTATTTATTATTAATTAATTAATTAATTAATTATTTATCCTTATTTATTTACCATCCACCTTATTTAACATAAGCTCTGTTTCTATATGTGTGTACAAGAGGCATGTACAGTACATCTGTGTCTCAGAGAGTATCATGGTGTGTGTGTTTGCTGCTCAATATGTGTCTGCCTGTCACCATAGAAGAGAAAACACTCAACCTGCCCTGATCTGCTGTTTCCAGCACATGTAGATTATATTACGCCAAATTACTGTATTATATTACTTAGATGTATATTTTGCTTCTGTAAATATGTCTAATCCCTTCTTTTATTTTTTTTCTAGTTTATATACTTACATACATTAGTAATTCATTTTGTACTACATGCTTAATACTTTTTTATATATTATTATTACTATTATTCTTTTTCTTTCTGTTAATACATATGTGTACTATTTGTAAGCAGTCCAGCTGCAATTGCTTTGGCAATACAAATGTATAATTTTTGTCATGCCAATAAAGCACTCTTAAATTGAAATTGAAATTGAGTATCATGGGACCCCCTTCTCTCCCCTATCACATTCTCCAAATGATTATACCCAGGGTGAGAGGTGATAATGATTATTAAGCCTTATTAATAATCGTAATTGGGAGTGAAAATATTCAGATTTACATCTGTTAGGGGTGTTAGAATCTCACCCCTTACATCATCTCTCATTATGGTCATGTAGTTAAAAACTATCCTTTTCTACGGAATACAAAATTATGAATGATGAAGTCTATTAGGCCTAAATTATTCAAGCCATAAATTGAAAATAAATCTCTTTTGCAAAGCATATGAAAAGAGATTCATAGCAGGAATAAAAAAGGATTTATTTCTTAGCGACAAGGACTGCTTTTAAACTCTGCATTAAGTCCCTTGAGTGTATCGCCAAGCTTTATTAGAGAAAAATAATAAAATAAAAAGTGGCGGCTCAAAATATTCATGCTATTCAAGAGTGTTCATTACTGCATGAACACGCTCGATGGCACAGACATCAAAGGAAAAGCCCTGGCCATAGATCCGCTGAACCTTCAACACAGCATAACCAATCCCCCTTCTGCCATACTTCAGTATTGATGCTTTTCACACACTGAGTGCTTAGGTGGTTTTATATCAGAGTAAAATCATATCAAAGTAGAGGTTCTCAACCATCGAAATGATTCATCTGACTTCAGATTGGCTCGAAATGACTTTAAACTGCAGCCGTAGTGCTGCTGGTAACAGTGTGACTATTAAAGCGCCAGTAAATATGATGTAAAAAAGGAATCTTCACTGTCCATGCAGTGAAATTAGCTCATGCAAGCCGCTTCTATAGGTCTATAAAAGTAATATGGCCGAGAAAATGGATCTCGCTACAGATCTTCTTAATTTCAATTGACTGAAGTGAGCTGAAAAGGTGGGATTGAAGGAAAGAGGGAGGGGGAAAGCAAGGGAGAGTAAAAGAGAGCGAGACGGAGATTTCGCACCGTGACTTCCTTCATTCAGTGAAGATCAAAGGTAACATGATTCCTTCTCTTCTGGCGGATCAGAGGGTTTTAATGTGTCTGCTCCTCTCTAAAGTGCTGTCTTGCTGAACTGGATACGACTGGTCAGAGCATCACACCCTTCGCTAACCTCAGTGAACATTTCCTCCTGTCAGAAACAGTTCATATATTATGAAATGTACATCATCACATATTATGGAAAATTAGCATAACTCTCAGGGTTTGGGGAAACCCCAGCATCGTTTTAATAGCCCAAAAAACATACTTTGCATTGAATTATTAGGTTGATACTTTATATTTTTTGATCATAGTTCAAATGAATAAAAACAATTTTAACTGTGTAACATTTAAACATAGGTGTACATACTGTAGACGTCAGACAGTTGACAGTTATTTGCTTTGATATCTTTTGTTGTATTTCTGTACAGCATTGATTCTTAATCAGGGCTTAGCAGACTTACAAAGGAGCCTCACAATTACTTAAACTAAGATATTAAAAAAACATTAAAATAAGTTAAAACTAAAAATCTAGCTATTCCCTTTCACCCCCTCAGCAATTGTTTGTTAAAACAGAATTCTCACAGTCATAAGACATGTAAATTAATAAAATGATAAAATTCCAGATGCATTTTTATAATTAAAACATATTTTTCTTGTTTGCCAAGCTCTGAAATCTTTTATTGTGTAGAAATTGGGAGTTAAAAAAGTACAATTCTTAGTAAATAAACTGGATAATGATTAAAGATTATAACAAATGGCAACTAACTAATTAAATAAATAAAAATATATATTTATATAAAGATGAAAATGATAATTGAGTGAAAATGTCAATATAAATAATCAATAATAGTATAATAATGAAGTAGTAAATCGTTTTTTGGGTAAAGGGGTTCAGCACAGCAGACAAAAACAAAAGTATGGAGATTTCTGGGTCAGAGGTACATATAAAAAACCTAAAGGGAAAATACTATTGTCTACATTGTATTATAGAGCTGATTTATAGCAATCTGAATTGTCTCCATAGGTAATTTTCCATAACTTATTCTGTTATTTTCCTGTTTATCTCTGTGAAGCGACTTTGACACATTTGTAATGTATAAAGCGCTATAGAAATAAAAGTGATTTGACTAATTGGTCCATTAAAAAATTACTACTATTATTTTTATACATCCAACACATCCCAAAAATAATAAAGTCAATCTTACCAGAACATGAGGGATACAAATGAACTCTTGTTCATATGTCTTTCACACTTTAAAAAATGTCTAAAATGTCCCATCATCAATGAATAATGAAATACCAGTCTGTTCATAAAAAACTATCACATGGCTTTGAATGGGTCACTTTTATGCTGCTTTTACATCCTTCACAAAGCTTGTAAAAAAAATCAACTAGCAGAATTTCTTTTGGTTTCCTTGTCAGAAAGAAAGTGATACAGTAGCGGTTTGGAACAACGTGAAGGTGAGTAAATAACGCCTGAATGTTCATTTTGGGTTGAAGTATCCCTTCATGCCTGTAAAACTTAGTCAAACAGTCATAAAGAGACGCTCTATCCTCTTTGAGAGTCAGATTTGCTGGCAGTCTGTCCCTCCGGCGCTGATGTAAGAGAAGATCTCAGAGGAGCTCTCCGTGGTGCTGATATTTCCGCTCAAGCGTGGGGCTCTTCTCTGCTACAGGCTTTTCAGAGCCAGCTGGATAACCAGACAACATGCCGGGTCACTTGGTCCACCCCCCACTCTCTTCCTCTCTGCTCTTCACAGGCATGAGGAAGCACTAGTCAGACTCTTGGCTCTCCATTAGCCGGCAGACAAATATAGAGCCAAAGTGTCCAACAGAATGGAGAAAGATACGTTGCCAGTTAGTTTTGGCATGGACCCGATTCACCACTTCAGCAAGATTACACACTGTGCTGAAAAGGGCAAGAGATTAAAAAAACAAGCACTTGGTGAGAAAGAGAGAGAGATGATAAGAATAATAAGCATGGCTACAAAAATTGTAATCAGCATGGTGATTATAGGTCAAAGGTGCAATCAGTAATTTTTCCTACTTAAAAAAATAATAATTTAATAGTACTTTTGCTCACATGTATCGTAATGCCACACGCATATTATTTTTGTCCACTACATGTTATAGCATTAAAATTAATTTTATCTTTGTTATCAGACAATTTTGCTCATGATCATGATCAACTGATCATGGCTGATTATAGCACCGAATGGCATTTTAATAACACTGGTAACAGAAAACTTTATACTGCATAAAGATCTTAAATTAACAAATAAAAAAAAACAAAGAAACAGGTAATAAACCGGATTTAAACTAGTTTTAGATGGAGTTTAGCATGTTTCCAGCTTTCTATCATATTTACCTTCACCATTTCATTTTAAGTGCTCCTGCTGTTTTACTAATACTACTACTACCACTACTACTAATAATAATAATTAGAAATAGTAATACTATTAACAGTTGGTTGTAAAGGCTGACAGCAAAACTACTTAAGTGTAAATGGACATTAACATTTTTTTTAATAAAAATTGTTTAAAAAAGAAAGGAAAAAAAACTATTATTAAGTGGTGTTTAAAATAGTTTTAGATGGAGTTTAGTTTTAATATTAATTATTATTATTATTACTATTATTACTAATGTGGTCATACAAATCAATATAGCAAAATAATTTCATTTTGGTAACACTTTAGAATAGGGAACACATATTCACTATTAACTAAGAGTTTTCCCTGAACAAACTCCTAATTTGCTGCTTATTAATAGTCAGTAAGGTAGTTGTTAAGTTTAGGTATGGGGGTGGATTAAGGGATCTAAAATACGGTCATGCAGAATAATGCATCAATATGAGCTTTGTAATTACTAATACATAGCCAATATGCTAGTGATATGCATACTAATAAGCAACTCATTAATAGCGAGAATTAATCCTTAAAATAAAGTGTTACCTTAATTTTTAAAATGAAAAATAAAATTAAATAACACCATAATATATACAATAAATAGTAAATGCCATTAAAATGGTTTTAGATGGAGTTTAGCATGTGACACTGCAGTACATCAATTTTCCAAAAGTTTCGTGCCAAGATCCCAAATGCAGATTCTATAAATAGCTACTCACATTAGACACGTATTTCATCAAGAGAAAACAGAGACATACCCACACCCATATGTCTACACATATAGCACACATTAT